TTTCTTCGTGGGCAATGACGAAAACCGACTGGAAATCGTCATTGCCCACGAATATGAGAATAGCACTAAGGTTTAAGTACATAAGACAGAGGTTAAGGGTTTAGGGTAAAAGGTTAAAGGTTAAGGGTTTAGGGTTTATAAGGTTCAGGGTGTAAGGCAGAAAGTTTAGGGGTTTAGGGTTTAGGGCAGGCAGGATCAGGAGGAATTCGGTAGTTGGCTTCCGGATGAGTTTAGGGTTTGGACCTTATGGTTCTGAGTTATGAGAGTGTTTATAGCTAGTACAAATGTTCACAGTTGACAATTATTCTTATTGTTGTTGTTATTGTCATTTTGCACGCTGTTCCCAGACCCTGGCCATTTTTTTGGTTCCCATGGTGCGGAGCCTCTCCTCCCTGTTCTTCCCCGGTTTTGGCTATTGTATTCCTGCAGTTGATGTTTCTGAGGGGCAGGGTGGGCACTGGGAACATGAGCATCTGGTGCCATATGGGTAGTTGTCAAAATAGGGTACCCTAGATAATAGATGCCGTACTCTAATAGGGACCCAAAAAGGAACCATGATTTTGACAACCACCCATATATAGTTCAGCACCCGAGGTCAGACGACTTGGAATTATGGACGGAGATCCATGCGCAAATGTATACTGGTTGATGGAGTGAACTTGGCTACCCATCACGAAGTTTGGCCCCAAGCCCTAAACCCTAAACCCTGCCTAAACTGAAAGGGGAAAAGCAGGGACTCTTAATGGGGACCCCTGCCCTATAATGGGCTATTTAATGGGTATATAATGACTATATTATGGGTATATACCTAGGGGTCCTTATTAAGGGTCCCTCCTTTTACCCTTTGATAAACCCTAGCCGGCAGCAGTGAAGCTTCCTGGCCACTTTACGGTTTGTACCCCCGGACACGATGCTATTCTCTGTTGTAGTTGTACTACTGTTGATCTATAAGGGTACCTGTAAGGGGCTCCTTTAAGGGATCTCCAGGGTTTTAGGGTTTAGGGTTTAGGGTGATGATGGAGACCCTGCATTACTTTAAAGACCCTAAGCTATGGAAATCATGGTATTTTCCTTATTATGGGGCATGCAGGAATTATATCATCAACCCTATATCATCCCCCACCCCCCCGGAGCCTTTGGGTTTAGGGCTTAGGGTCTACTACTCCGCTGTATTACGGAATGTTGATGTGGCCTTGGGCCCGGATGTTTTTCCTCCCCGACGAATAAGCCGCGGGAGATGCTCAGTGCGAGTTGAACTGCCGCTTGGGCAGAGCTCAGGGCCCTAACCTCCCCAAGCATATTTTTTGTGAGTTGCTATGAATTACATATGAATATACGGTTTAGAATAAGAGCCTGTAACAAAGTAGGCTATGGTAGTTTGAGTCAGGTGTTTTATTTAAGTCCGACATGCGCCGCCCACGCTTCTTCTCAGCAGTTTAAACGATTCAGCATTGCGCGTCGGCGCAGCCAGCACATGAGAGCGAAAGCTTTCTCCTATCCCTCCAAGGACCTCATAGTTAGGGCCCTAGACCCCTTAAGGACCCCATAACTAGGATGCCCAGTAGTACCCTTATTCCCTTTTTGTAGTCCTAGGTTCCTTATAAAGTTACCCAGTACCAACAAGAGAGGCCTTTTTATTCTTAGGTTACTGGGTATCCTAGATTAGTAAACATCCCTTAAAGACTCCGTTTAGGGATCCCTTTAAAGGAACCCTACTCTGATTATTAAGGCCCCTACATCCCTTATAGACTCCGTCCCTGGAGGCATAGGGTTCGTGTTTACGTATGAGGTGTTATACACCTCGAAACCCTGAGTCCGAGCGGAGTGATCAAAACGTTCAGCTGCATGCCAGGAGAGCAGCATCGTTTAGGGTTTAGGGTTTAGGGCCAGGGTTTAGGGTTCATCAGTCTGTTTGGTTACCCCAAAGGGTCCTATGTACTGTTATGGGGCATACTTCCCTAAGTCATAATAGTAATTCCTCATATGGAAACCCTACATTCTACGATATCGGTACATTGGACCCTTTGGGTACCAGGTCTTCTCTATGTCCGGCTCAGTAATTGGGGCATCTGCGTGTGCATGCATGCAGAAACCTTATGAACCTTGCCTAACTTAGAAGTGCGCAGACACACAGACACACGCACACACACACACAAACACATTAATTTCGTGTAGGTACATTTTCTATACACATATACACACAGCATGCATATACATTAGTACATACGTATAAAATATACTTTACAGGTCGTTTCCGTAGATATACGAATTTTGTATGCAAGTCCGTATGTATCCATGCATGCATGTTTGTATGCATGTACGCCCTTAAACCCGGGCAAATTACAGCGAGCGCCGCGAGCCCTGCGAGGTAAGTATCCCCCACTCTTAAACAGGGGTATCCGGGGGTGGCAGCTCGTAGGGTCTGGGGGGTAAGGGCAAGAAGTCTGCAACCAGGGACGTTGAACGCATAAAGATTGCAGGTCTGTGTTCATTTTGACGTTGGAATCAACCCCCCCCCCACCCCTCACATACAATATCGCACATGCCCCACCCCGCCCCGCTTACCCCTGTCCTTCTGGCATCCCAAAACCACAGAAAAAAAGATGCAGGCTGTCCACATGTGTCAACTTTGCTGTTTGCGCACGATATCGCGTCCCAGAACCGTGTTTGCTAGTCAGTAAGGCTGCTAGCTATCCGAACAGACTCGCAGCACTGATGGCTCAGTGCTCAGGGCTCGTTTCTTTAGGGATGGAGATTTACTTCGACGTCGTGGCTGAGGATTAGGAAACTTAGTGTTTTGGGTTGCTCGGCCGTCAGGTTTTTAGCGGGATTTCGGTGTTCTATAGGGGCCTAATTATTACCTGTACTATTTTGGGGGTTCCTTTATTAGAATTACAGTATAATGGGCCCCAAAACACCATTCTAATCATTAAGCCCCCTACAACTACCCTTATAGATCCCATATAGTAGCCCTTTTCTCGACCCCTTCACAAAGGGAGCCCTATTCCAATTATTAAGGCCCCTACATTAAGCCATAAACCCCGAAATCCCCTATAGATCCCTTATAGAACCCTTTTAAAGGAACCCTATTCTGATTATGAAGGCCCCTATCTTACTTCTTGAAGTCTGCCTCAAACCCTAAACCCTATACCCTAAACCTTAAACCCTGAACCCTAAACCCTAGCCTCAATGGACCTGGAGTCTGTCGAGCAGAGTGTGCCTGACGAGCACTCGGAGGAGGAGGAGGAGGAGGACACGGAGAGTGACGAGCCGCTGCAGCTTGAGGCGCACATCCGCAAGTCCCTAAACTTTAGGGAGCTTTAGGTTTTAGGGTTTCGGGGTTAGGGTTTAGTTTAGGGGTTTAGGCTTTAGAGTTTTGGGTTTTAAGTTTGGAACCTTTGTCTACATCAAACACTAAATCCCAAAGCCCGCACATCCCTCAACCCTGAATGCCTCAAGCCTAACCCCATGCAAGAATCTCACCCCAATCCCTTAACCCGTCAACCCCAAACCCTTACCCCTGGACCCTAGATCATGAAGGGTTTTCAGTGGCCGCAATGATTTGGGATGTTCAGGGGTTCTGTTCGGCTGGCGGGTTCCTTGGCAACGATCCCTCATCGAAGGATCAGCGGACATAGAAAGCGGGTTTAAGGATTACGGTTATCAGTTCAAGGCTCCGGGCACTAGGGCCTTTAGGGTTTAGGGTTTAGGATCTAGGGTTTAGGGTTTAGGGTTTAGGGTTCACTAGGGATTGTAGGTAGTACGGCTTCAATTGACAACCCCAAACCCTAAGCGAGGTAACTGTACGTACCCATATGGGTGGTTGTCAAAATTACGGTCCCTTTTTTGGGCACCCGAAATATTAGGTGCCGTACTATATTAGGGACCGACCCAAAAAAGGGGAAAATAATTTTGACAATCACCGATATCTAACTGAATGTATGCCCCGCTCGTATACTGAGACCATGGCATAGCTTTCACGGAGACCTCCGGCCCTGCCCTAGGAATTTAGGGTTTAGGGGTTTAGGGTTTAGGGTCTAGGGTTTAGGGGTTTAGGGGTTTAGGGTTTAGGGTTTAGGGTCTAGGGTTTAGGGGTTTAGGGGTTTAGGGTTTAGGGGTTTAGGGTTTAGAGGTTTAGGGTGTAGGGTTTAGGGTTTGCAACCATCTCTGCATTACTAGCGGCCCGGTAGCGAGTGCTTAATCTAGACAGCTTGCTCGCCGGTGCCTTAGCCAGCAAACCACGTCTCCACCATGCCCTCTTGGCGCTGTTGCCACTCTCACCACTACGGCAACTTACCACAGCTACCTCGCCTCCTACTACTCCTGCCCCTCCTCCTCCTCCTCCTCCTCCTCGTACAAGTTCCTAGTACAAGTACCGTTTGCCGCAGGGGGGGTGGGGGTTTGGAGGGATGATGCCGAAGGACACCGCATCATGGCCAAAAAGCCAATGCTGTGGCCAAAGTGCATTGCCCGAAGTCTCTAAACGAGTGGAAATGCTAGGAGCACTGTCAATATTTATTATTCACAGTAGCAGGAAGAATGACAGTAAGGTTGCTGGGTGTGCTCGAGCATGCTTCATGAAGGCTTCTGGTCTTTTCAACCTTACAGGACTACTTAGGGCTCAAAACCTATTAAGGGTTTAATACGGGTTTTTCACGGTCTGGGGTCGAACCATATATGGGGGTTTCCGAATATTTGGGGTACCTTCTTTTGGGGTCCTTATAATCAGGATCCTACTATTTCGGGTACTCATTTAGAGTCCCCCATTTTCGGAAACTCCCATATTAGTAGGCCGGCAAGCCGCGGTTTTCAACCCAGTTGCTTACAACCAACCCACCCCTCTGAAACTCTGCACCCTAAACCCTAAACCCTATATATGAGGGGACCCTAATATAGTACCCCAAATAGTAGGATCCTTATTATAAGGACCCCAAAATAAGGTACCCCTATTTGCGGAAACTCCCACTATAAGCCATAAACCCTAGACCGTCAGTGCACAGGAATTTCTGGCCGAGCGGGTCAGTGAACTGCAGCCCACATCGCCAGACTCTCAGTGCCTTTTTGGGGGCTCCACAAGGTGTTTTAGGCTTTAGGGTTTAGGGTTTATGGGTCAGGGTTTAGGGGTTAGGGGTTAGGGTTTAGGGTTTAGGGTTTTGGGGCTCCACAAGGGAAATCAAGGTTTAAGAAACATACAAGTTTGTGGTGAAGTCAGGCTTCATAGGTTCTAGGAGTAACCCTAAACCCTAAACCCTGAGTACCTTGTGAGGCAGGGTATCCCGAAAAGAGCACTCAGGCCTGACATCGTCCGGGCCACACCGGCCTATCAGGCCCTACGCCGCCACCTGGCAGCTGAAATCTTAAACCCTAAACCCTTAACCCTATACCTGAACCCTAAATCTTGGCTCTAGTTGGGGCTTTGGGTTGAGATCCCCTCCCAAGTCCGGAAACTCCGCAATCTAAAGCTCAAGCGCAAGACTGCGTACAAACCCTCAAATCCCCAAGCCGTCCATTCTAAGCTCAAAGGACTTGGGCTCGTTTGTTCGTTTGGTGGTGACCAAAGCGAGACATCTCCAGGCTCGAATTTCCCCCAAGATTTGTGAAGCTGGAAGTGCTAAAACATCGCCAGGCTCGAATTTCCCCCAAAAAATTCCAAACTCTCAGCAACTATGACCCCGCACTCCCCATAAATCTCAGGATTTTAGGATTCTTTTGCGAAATTCGATCCCTGCCCAGTGTTTTCGCGGTTCCGGGCTTCAGGAATTTCTGGGAAAAAAACTCGAGCCGTGCAGCGAGCCGGCAACCCGGACCTTCCAAAATCCCCTTAATCCTAGGGTTCCTTTAAGGGTTCCTTTAAACGTTCCTTTAAGGGTTCCTGTAAGGATCTATAGGGTTTAGGGTTTAGGGACCTTCCAAAATCCCCTTAATTAAGGAATATCGCTTAAATCATATTAAGGATCCTACTATAAGTTAAGGGCTATTCCTTTTCAGCTTCTTTAGTTTTTGACCATGACATACAAGAAATGTTGTTTCTCTGCAACGGGCAAGGATCTAAACTGTGAGACCTCTATGAAAAACAGAATTCGACAAAATCTAGACATGATGTGAGGTTCAGCATTCTAAAGCATCCACAAACACAAAGAGGTTTACATGGTGCATCATCCTGTGTTCCTCGGTTACTTTTTTGCATTTCAGGCTTCAGAAACCTTGAGAAAAGTCGATCCCTGTCGATGTTTGCGCATCCTGTTTCATATTACAACTTATATGACCTGTCCTATTGTATTGCATGAAGTGAGTGCCCTTATAATCGTAATACGTTTCAAAGCATATCAAACACAGTCATCATAATCAAGATACTGACTATCTCAATGATAACACCAAGTAAGAACAGTCATAATAACAGCAACCAGTAAGAATAATAAGAACAAGAATAGTAGTCATAACAATACTAAAAATGCTCAACAGTACCATAACAAATGTGTATTGCTATTATCACCAGCATCATCATGGCAAGCCCAGTCCACCGACGCTTTCTGGTTTCGTACGCAGAAGCATTCACTTGCCCAACATAAGATGTTTAGCGTTTAGGGTTGGGGTTTACGGTTTAGGGTTCAGAATTTAGGGTTTGGGATTTCGAGAGCAGAAGACCTCGGAGCGTAGCCAACTGCAACAGGATGGTCCTTGGACGATGTCGTCCATGTCCCCATGTACCTTTAAGGGATCTATAAGGGTTCCTTTCAAGGATCTATAGGGTTCCTTAATGGGATCTTAACGGTTCCTTAATGGGATCTATAGTGTTTAGGGTTTTCGGTCTACTTAGAGGATCATGGGACGTAGTAACTAGGGTTATAACTGAGGTATACAACTATACTTATAAGTACTTATATCCCCCTCTAATTAGGGTACTTCTGATTAATACTTACCAACCCAAACGCAGGGAAAAAGTGACGCTGCAATTCATGCAACACAAAAGTCCAGTGCGTCGAATGCGACACCTTTTCTGCTAAAGACGGTAATGTAAGGAACCTGATTAAGAAACCCTGGGCCTATAACACCAAAATATCAGGGTTCATATAAGGAACCCTAATAAAGGCACAAGGTTTCTTAATCAGGTCCCTACAGTATTGCACGGCGGGCAGCAACCCGACACAGAGTCTTAGGGGTTTAGGGTTTAGGGGTTTAGAGTTTAGGGGTTTGGGGTTTAGGGTTTAGGGGTTTAGAGTTTAGGGGTTTAATTAGGGGTTTAGGGGTTGAGGGGTTCAGGGGTTTAGGGGTTAGGGTTTAGGGCTCCGAGAAAGGCGAGGTGCGTGCTCACAAAGCGCACTTTCGTTTGGCACGCGCTAAACCCCATTCCTGGGCCACAGAACCCCAGCCCGCAAACCCTAAGCCCGTAGAATCCTAAACCCTAAGCCCCTAAACCCCTAAACCCTAAACCCCACTTTGAGGATGCGGCGCTGCCCTCCGCGGTCGACGGCAAGATGCCTTCCACCGGAATTTCCAAACCTCCAGGAGGGGTTCCAACGACTAGAGAATCAGGGTGTCAGGGTTAAGGCTTTAGGGTTTATAGTTTATAGTCTGTTAAGGCTTAGGGGCTCTTTTAGTAAATTAGGTCTTTGGGATTTTAGGGGTTACGGGTTTGAGGGGTTTGGGCTTTGGGGTTGTCGGGTGCTGAATAGGTCTTCGAAGCGGGAGTTGTGTAAGGGCTCCTCGAACGATTTATCGGGATTCTTAGAGTGTAGGGTTTTTGTTCCAGAGGTTTACGGCCTGAGGGTTTAGGCCCGTAGGGATTTACGGACCTGAGCGCTTTGGAGTTTCACAGTAAAAAAAGTTGCCGAGTTTTACAGACCTCCAGGAAAATAGATATAGGGGCCTTCAGAAAATAATATCGGGCCTTGATCACAAGGCCTGGAGGGATGTTACAGCATATTTAAAGTTTAGGGCTTTAGGATTTAGGGCGCTAGGGGTTCACTGTTTCAGAGGTTTGGGGCTTTAAGTTTTTCGCTTGGAGGGGATTCGGATTTGGCGGGCTTAAGCCTTGGGATAACCCTGACCCCCAACCCTGCTATCGGGGCCTTAATAATTAAAATAGGGTTTGGGGGCCCATTATTCTACTCTGAACATAAGGAACCACCGAATTCAAAATAGTTGTATTGATAATTGCTCACGCTCCTTGAGGCTGTCTCCAGCTCCTTTTCTGCTAAGTGTACGCACTGCTTGGCCTCATCAAAAAAGCCCGAATCCATAGAAGCCCTAAGCACTACACTCTGAACGCTAAGTCCACAACCCTATAGTATGGTCTCTGTGCCCAAAAGCCTTAATATATTAGTCCTTAGACCGGGCCACACACCCTAAACTTACTAAGCCTTACTTAGAGGATCACGGGACTTAGTAAGTGATTATAATTGGGGTTAAGTCCCCTAAGTGGGGTTATCCTAATTATAACCTACTTATAACCTTACTTACTAAGTCCCATGAGCCTTTAAGTAAACTCTAAACATCGCCAAACCCTAGAAACTCTTCCAGGATAGATTCGTTCTGGAGCCACAGCTGGCATGGAAGCACGTGGCGCAAGGACGGAAGTCCTTCTTCCCCTCGTCTAATATAATATAGGGTCCTCAGTAATTACCTGTAGTATTTTCGGGGGTTCCTTATTATAGTTTTAGTATAATGGGCCCCAAAATGGGCCCCAAAACCCTATTCTAGTGATTAAGGCCTCTAGATTGGGGTTTTGGGTGTGGGAGCCCCCCGGCCCTAAGCCCGGGAGCCTCACATCATGTTGAAGGCATAGGTCTTGCAGTCTCTACGTGGAGGTTCTTGGGTGGTTATAAGTGGTTTAGGGTTTAGGGTTTAGGGTTTAGGGTTACAAGTCCCTGAAAGGGGATAGAAGCTATAGTTATCCCTCTTATAAACCAACTTAGAACCCCTCATGAACCTCCAGGTAAGCCCGGTTTCGCAGTGAGGCCGTCGGAGACTCTTGGGTTTACACAGGTGTTGAGAAGGGTCAGGGTACGGGGGTTGGCTTCAGGATTTATAGGGGTTTCGGGTATCGTTTTTTTTGTTTCGGGTTGAGTAAGGGTTTAGGGTACGAAGGCCTCGTTCATACTGCTCTGTGGGATTATGCTGTTCGAAGCCTGTGGGTTAATATTTGGGTAGTTATGGCTTCTTAGGCCTCCCACCCAAAGCTACTCCGAAATTCTCCCAAGACTCCCCGGTCCAAGGATCAGGACCTTTCCTTTCTTTGTTCACCACGGACCCTAAGCCCTGAAACCTAGATTGAAAAACAAGCTTCAGGGTTTAGGGCTTCGAATGTAAAGTATCTGGAGCCCCCAATCAGCCTGCAGAGATAAAAATGTCAAATGGGTGGTTGTCAAAATTATGGTCCCTTTTTGGGTCCCTATAATACGGCACCTATTATTTAGGGTACCCCAAAAAGGGACCCTAATTTTGACAACCACCCAAATAATTCAAAACCCAAAACGCCCACCCTATACCCCCCAAGTTGTGGTGGATTCTCCGGAGTTGGGTAAGCCTGAAGCCAACGCGCACTCAACAGTCGCCTCCTCGGGCATGCCTTTCTACCCTTATAATCCTAAACCTGAACCCTAAACCCAAACCCAGATCGTGCATCCCAAAATCCTGAACCGTAATCCCTAAGTGTGGGAACTTTAATACAAGAACCCAGCAGTCCAGCCCGAGCAGGTCGTGACGGCTCTCTGGGTGTACAACTCGGTTCCAGCCACTTACGTAGCGACTTTCGGCCGGGGTTTGGTGTGGGGTTTAGGGATTTAGGCTTTGGGATTCAGAGGCGTTGTTTGGGATATTTAGGCTTTAGGAGAAGGGGAAAGGGTTTTGGAGGCTGTTTGTTCTTGGAAAGGGGAAAGGCTGTAGGATATGAGGTTCAGGTTTGTTCTTTACTGCTTCGGGTTGATGGGCTTGGGTTTGATGGGGTTCAGGTTTGAAGAGGATGAGAATGTGACGCAGCTCCCGCAGATGCTTGTGATGATTGTGGTTATTGTGTGATGACCCAGAAAACGAACCCTAGGGAACTAAGGACTGATATATTGAGGCTTTTGGGCCAAAAGACCATACTTTACGTACGGCCCCCTTACAGTAAGAGTCTATATTAGGGCTACTATTAAGGTCCTAATATCTCTATATTATGAATATTATTCAACTATTACTGAGTGGGGGCCGTACCTAAACCATACTATATAAGGCTTTTGGGCTGTATTGATCCTTCGGAAAAGAGGACGAGGTTTTTTGAGCATGCTGTGTATTGATGACCATGGGGAGGGTGTTCGCCAAGTTGACGATGATGGCGGGAGTATAGGGGCCTTAATAATTACCTATACTATTTTGGGAAAATTTTGGGGGCTCCTTATTATTATAATAATAGTATAATGGACCCCAACACCCCACTCTAATTATTGAGGCCCCTATATTAGACGATGACGGAGATGATGGCGATTATGATAATAAGGTGAGTCCTCACGAAGATGAGGCCGACAGTGCTGACTCTTCTTTGGGTGACACATCCAGGTCCGAAGGCTTCAATACTGCCACCGTCTAGACCATCAAACCCTAGCACTCTAAAGGCCTAAACCCTAAACATACGAAGTTTTTGAGGCATATACAGCCTAAGGTCCTGGGTGCGACCCTGCAAAGGTGCCTCCGGGTTATGGCAAGCTTCACGGTGTGGGTAGCAGGGTTCAGGGCGGGGTTCCGACTCTGGATGTAGGGGTTGGGGCTGGGTTAAGAGTTTGGCGTCCCTCAACCCTGAACCCGAAATGCTCTGAACCGCTATCCCTAAGCCTTAAATGCGAAACCCTAAACCCCAAACCCTAAACCCTAACCCACCCCTACGCCCTAAACAGTGCGTCTTGAAGCCTCAGGACCATTGGGGCTTTCCTCGTTTCCATACTCTACGGCTTGAAGGTGCTTCCCGGCATGAGCTACTGGGTTCCGCGTCTGCAAGCTGTGAATTCAAACGTAGGTATTGGGGTTTAGGGCGAGGGTGAGGGGTTCAGGGTTTAGAGTGTGTTTCATGAGGCTTGAGTTTTTTGACACTCTCGTTGCTTTCATGATGAGAGTTGCATTGGGTGTAGACTCGCGTAAATCCCTAAAAGCTGAAACCTGAAACCCTCAACCGTAATGCCCTGGCCTTAAACTTTCAACCCTAACATACCCTAACGCCTCTGAAAGCCTATACCCCTAAACCCTAAACCCTAAACCCTAAATCCCTAAATCAGGATTTAGGGTTAAGGGGTTTAGAGGCTTGGAGTTCAGGGTTTAGGGGTTTAGGAGTTTAGGGGCTTAGCGCTTAGGGTATTCAGAGTTTAGGGTTTAGGGCTGGGGCATTTATTTAGTCTTCAGGGGTTTAGGGTTTAGGGCTTTTCCCAACCTCTCAAGGGTGTAGGGTTGTTCCAAACTCTCAACTGCAAGTCCTGATATGAAACGGCTCAGGACAGCTACGAATACCCTCGAAGCTATTGGGCGTCCTCAGTTGGCCTCGTGCTCTACTGCATCTTGACTGCTGGATCGGTTTCAGGTGTAGGGTTCAGGGTTTGGGGTGTGGGATTTAGAGATCAGGGTTTAGGGATTAGAAGGGGTTGAGGGTTCATTTATTCTAGGAGGCTCGTTTCCGGGTTCAAGCAAGAGTCGCGATCCGCAGTAAGGTCCCTGGACCCTGAACCCTAAACCCTAAACTGTGGAGTCGCTGCTGTGGAATTTAGGAAAGAAGGAGCTCGAAAACACAACAAAAAACTAAACCGCCCTACCAAGAACATTCCTGCAAAGGACCCGTAATTCAGGAAATACTTCGCTCGGATAGCCAAGCCTTGGAACTGCCCGCGGGTAAGCCAAAAGTCCATCATTATGCCCCAACATAGGGACCTTAATGATTAGAATAGGGTTTTGGAGCCCATTATACTAAAACTGAAATAAGGAACCTCAACATAGTATAGGTAATTATTACGGCCCCTATCATAAACTGATTCAGGCCTGACGTTTCTCTTTTGGCAGCCTCGCCAGCGCATCTTCTTGGATGTGCTTTGCATCGACCAGATTGATCCAGTCCGCAAGGCTTCGGGTCGTTTGAAACGAGCCTCCCGCAAAGCCCAAACTGAACTGCAAGGGCAACGCCAATCCTAAACCCTGAAGGCAAAATCTACGATACCACGACCGGGGCAACACCAATCCTGAACCCTGAAGAAGAATTCTACAATGCAACAAACGCTGGAAGCTTGATGCCTTGACCATCATAAAACCCTCATAAAATCATAGAGCCCTTCGGAACCCGAGCCCAAAGATCGAGAACCTTCAAAACCAACAGCCCTCACGCCGAAAACCATATGTAGCACCCTGAACCCTAAACCAAACCCCAGCATAAATCCCAAACCCCAACGACCGACAGACCGACGGACGGACAGACAGACGGACAGGCATATGAATGATAGATAGAAAGATAGGCAATTAGGTAGGTAGATAGCTGATAAGTAAGTGGTTGACAGACAGACAGACAGACAGACAGATAGATAGATAGATAGATCGACAGATAGACAGATACACCGACAGATCGATAGATGGATATATCGTTAGATAGATAGATAGATAGGTAGCAAAGTAGATAGCTATGTACGTAGATAGGTAGGTAGATAGATAGACAGATCGGCGAATAAATGGGTAGATAGACGCGCAAAGAAAGATAGACAGGTGCGCAGTTAGATAGATAGTCAGCTTGATAGATGGTTAGATAGGTAGATAGCTACATAAATGAGTAGATCCATCGTTGGATGGATTGATGCATGGCTGCAGGGATGCGATGCATGGAGGCATGGAGGCATCGATGCATGGAGTCATGGATGCATGGATGGATGGAGGGCTGGCCGGCTGCTTGGCTGGCTGGCTGCCTGGCTGGCTGGCTAGATGGATGGATGGATGGATTTATGGATATATGGATTTATGGATTTATGGATTTATGGATGGCTGGTTGGAGACATAGATACAGATAGTTAGATAAACAGCTCGTTGCACAGTTAGCATGTACATCGATACAGATAGTTTGAGAAACAGCTCGTTACACACCTAGCTGAATATGTACATCAATAGGTCGGTAGATAGACGGAGCGGCAGATCGGTAGACAGATGGATAGTTATATGGATGCACAGTTTAGTTAGAGATGTGTGGAAACCTTTGTGGGTGGTTGTCAGAATTATGGTCCTTGTTTGGGTCCCTATTATAATACGGCACCTAATACTTAAGCTACCCAAAAAGGGACCCCAATCTGACAACTACCCAGAAAGAAAGAAAGATCGATACACAGACTCAGGTAGATAGACAGGGAGATTGATAGATAGCTGGGTAGATAGTAGGACAATACCACAGTTATGAGTAATGAGCAATGAAGCTCAAAGCCCCCATAAGAAGCCTTCCACGACACCCTGATATTACCAATATAGGGACTTAAATAATTACCGATACGATTTTGTGGGTTTCTTATTATAGTTAAGGTAAAGAGGGCACCAACTTCTAATTCTTAAGGGCCTATCTATATATATATATATATATTGTGTATGAGTACTCGAGAGAGCACAGAGCTCTTAAAGATCCCTTGAAGAACCCGTGCCCTGTTCCCAAAAGGCTGCCGGGATTCTCAGCATGGGGGCCTTCCTGAAGTGCTCGGACTCAATGCTGGTTCTTTGGGACCCGACTCTTAGTAACTGAGTGAGTACACTTTACACTTGTTGGGATAAGGGTTTAGGGTTTAGGGGTTTAGGGTTTAAGGGTTTAGGGTTTGCGGTTCAGGGGTTTAGGGTGTAGGGTCCTTGAAAGAACTGAAAGTGTACACTTGTTTGGGCCCCAAACCCCAAACCCTAGACCCTAAACCCCTATAAACTCAGCAACCGAGGACTTACACCCATCGGCTCTGGTGCATCTACGTGCCTGGGTGGTGCGTTGAGTACTATAGAGGCCTTAAAACTTACTAATACTTTTGGGGGGTTCCTTATGGCTTTTTTCGTGTAAATTGCACCAAAACCCTTGTCTTTCTAATTGCTGGCCCCTGAATTAGGTGGTTACAGGTACACCTTAGTGTCCAAGAAGGGCTGTAAGTGCTCTATACGGCAGGGTGTTGTCATGAGACCAGATTTCGGGTAGCGGCAGGTTTAGGGCTTGGGCTGTTTGGGTTTAGGGGTTAGGGGTTTAGAGTTTGCGGGTTTAGGGTTTAGGACTTTATTAACCCTAAACCCCTGAACCCTAAGGCCAAATCATGAGGAGGGCATAGCAGACCCTTCAAGCCCCAAAACAGAGTCAGACTCCCTTACGAAAGGTTTACAATTTTGGGATAGCAAGCCTTGTCCGGGATAAACCTGTGTTTCAGAGAATCAGACTCTCGCATAGATCCTAGATAGTTGAGGGGGATCCGTAGTGGAAGCACCTTCCGGTACCGTAAGACCCCCAACAAAACTGCCTTATGAAGGACTTGTAAGGAAATCATAAGAAGGAGCCCTAAAAAGATAGGTCTTTTTTTGCGCCAAGGTCCATCCTCAAGTCTGAACCCTACAGTCCCTCAACCCCCTAGAGTTCCTAAGCCCCCTACACCCTAAACCCGATAGATCCCTAAACCCGATAGATCCCTTATAGTGCGTTACCCTGCAAAAGCCTATAGATCCTTTTAAAGGAACCCTATAAATCCCGTTTAGAGTCCCTAAACCCTCTGAACTCTATAGATCCCGTGTAGTGCGTAACCCTGCAAAAGCCTATAGATCCCTTTAAAGGAACCCTATATATCCCTTTAAAGGAACCCTCCCTTTAAAGGGACCCTATAAATCCCTTTAAAGGAACCCGTAAATCCGTTTAAAGGAACCCTGTAAATCCCTTTAAAGGAACCCTATATATCCCTTTAAAGGAACCCTATAAATCCCTTTAAAGGAACCCTGTAAATCCCTTTAAAGGAACCCTGTAAATCCCTTTAAAGGAACCCTATAAATCCCTTTAAAGGAACCCTATAAATCCCTTTAAAGGGAAATCCCTTTAAAGGAACCCTATATATCCCTTTAAAGGAACCCTGTAAATCCCTTTAAAGGAACCCTATAAATCCCTTTAAAGGAAAATCCCTTTAAAGTAAATCCCTTTAAAGGAACCCTATATATCCCTTTAAAGGAACCCTGTAAATCCCTTTAAAGGAACCGTGTAAATCCCTTTAAAGGAACCCTATATATCCCTTTAAAGGAACCCTGTAAATCCCTTTAAAGGAACCGTGTAAATCCCTTTAAAGGAACCCTATATATCCCTTTAAAGGAACCCTGTAAATCCCTTTAAAGGAACCCTATAAATCCCTTTAAAGGGACCCTGTAAATCTTTTTAAAGGAACCTTATAAATCCCTTTAAAGGGACCCTGTAAATCCCTTTAAAGGAACCCTGTAAATCCCTTTAAAGGAACCCTGTAAATCCCTTTAAAGGAACCCTATAAATCCCTGTAAAGGAACCCTGTAAATCCCTTTAAAGGAACCCTATATATCCCTTTAAAGGAACCCTGTAAATCCCTTCAAAGGAACCCTATAAATCCCTTTAAAGGAACCCTGTAAATCCCTTTAAAGGAACCCTGTAAATCCCTTTAAAGGAACCCTATAAATCCCTTTAAAGGAACCCTATATATCCCTTTAAAGGAACCCTATATATCCCTTTAAAGGAACCTTGTAAATCCCTTTAAAGGAACCCTACAAATCCCTTTAAAGGAACCCTGTAAATCCCTTTAAAAGGAACCCTGTAAATCCCTTTAAAGGAACCCTATAAATCCCTTTAAAGGAACCCTATAAATCCCTTTAAAGGAACCATGTAAATCCCTTTAAAGGAACCCTGTAAATCCCTTTAAAGGAACCCTATAAATCCCTTTAAAGGAACCCTATAAATCCCTTTAAAGGAACCCTGTAAATCCCTTTAAAGGAACCCTATATATCCCTTTAAAGGAACCCTATAAATCCCTTTAAAGGAACCCTATAAATCCCTTTAAAAGGACCCTGTAAATCCTTTTAAAGGAACCCTATAAATCCCTTTAAAGGAACCCGGTAAATCCCTTTAAAGGAACCCTATATATCCCTTTAAAGGAACCAGGTAAATCCCTTTAAAGGAACCCTATAAATCCCTTTAAAAGAACCCTGTAAATCCCTTTAAAGGAACCCTATATATCCCTTTAAAGGAACCCTGTAAATCCCTTTAAAGGAACCCTGTAAATCCCTTTAAAAGAACCCTATATATCCCTTTAAAGGAACCCTGTAAATCCCTTTAAAGGAACCCTATAAATCCCTTTAAAGGGACCCTGTAAATCCCTTTAAAGGAACCCTGTAAATCCCTTTAAAGGAACCCTGTAAATCCCTTTAAAGGAACCCTATAAATCCCTTTAAAGGAACCCTATAAATCCCTTTAAAGGAACCCTGTAAATCCCTTTAAAAGAACCCTATATATCCCTTTAAAGGAACCCTGTAAATCCCTTTAAAGGAACCCTACAAATCCCTTTAAAGGAACCCTGTAAATCCCTTTAAAGGAACCCTATAAATCCCTTTAAAGGAACCCTGTAAATCCCTTTAAAGGAACCCTATAAATCCCGACCCTGTAAATCCCTTTAAAGGAACCCTATAAATCCCTTTAAAGGAACCCTATAAATCCCTGTAAAGGAACCCTACAAATCCCTTTAAAGGAACCCTACAAATCCCTTTAAAGGGACCCTGTAAATCCCTTTAAAGGAACCCTATAAATCCCTTTAAAGGAACCCTGTAAATCCCTTTAAAGGAACCCTATAAATCCCTTTAAAGGAACCCTACAAATCCCTTTAAAGGAACCCTATATATCCCTTTAAAGGAACCCTGTAAATCCCTTTAAAGGAGCCCTGTAAATCCCTTTAAAGGAACCCTATAAATCCGAAGACCGAGACCCAGGAGCTCTCGGCCTATTTGTACAGCCGCCCGGAGGGTGCCAAGACCAACCTGACAGCCAGACCGGTCCTTCTTGGACCCTGCTTCTTGCCAGGAGCCCTTTAAGGGTTCCTATAAGGGATCTATGCAAGTTTAGTAGGGGCTTTAGGGGTTTAGGGTTAAGGGTTTGGACCATGCTTCCTGCCAGTTTAGTACGGGTTTAGGGGTTTAGGTCCTTCTTGGACCATGCTTCCTGCAAGCTTACTTGGGGTTTAGGGGTTGAGGGGTTTAGGTCCTTCTGGGACCCGGCTTCTTGCAAGTTTAGTGGGGTTGTAGGGTTTAAAGGTCTAGGGCCTACCTGTGGCCAAAAAAAAATTATATATATATATATATATATATATATCAGACCCTGCTTCGTGCAATTTTAGTAGGGCTTTTCGGGTTTAGGGTTAGGGGTGTTGCGGTTTGGGGTTTACGGGTTTAGGGTTTAGGGTTTATGGCGCAGTTTAGGGCCTACTTATGGCCCAAAACACCTACCATTCAAAGAAACTCTGTCCGAAAAATGTAGGTTTTTTTCGGCCACAGGGTTTTGATTTGAGGGGCGGGTTGAGTTTTTGAGTTCGCGGTTGTTGGGTGTGCAGAAAGGCTTGCTTTGTACATGTATGGCCATTGGCAGCCTTTGCGCCGGGCTCTTACAAGCCCAGACCTTCCAAAATCCCTTATTTAAGGAATAGCCCTTAACTTATAATATAGTAGGATCCTTAATATGATGTAAGGTATATTCCTTAATTAAGGGATTTTGGAAGGTCTGGGAGGCTACTTCATGGGCCTTTCGGGGAGCCACAAACAGCTTCCACTTTAAATCCTAAACACTACCTTAACCTACCAAAACCTACATTTTTGTAGGGTCCCTATAAATTCCATATTAGGGTTCAACAATGAAAACCCACAAAAAAGTAGGGTTTGGTAGCTTAAGGTAAGATTTGAACGCGAAAGTTTGCCACGAAACGAACACCCGTTTCCGTCTCAGTTCTGGGAGCTTGAGGCGACAATCTTTCACACAGCCCTAAAGCCTAAACCGGATACCCTACCTGGAGGACCATGGGACTTAGTAAGTATGGTTATAAGTACTCAAGTGGGGTTATAAGCAATTATAAGTATAGTTACCCGAATTATAACCCTAGTTACTAAGTCTCATGATCCTCTAAGTAGACCCTCAACTTTTAAACCCTTCAAAAGGGAGGTCAGCCGGCTGTTTCAAACGAGGGTTCGTGTACAGGGGTCACAGGACCTGTTGAGGGATTCGTAGGGTGGTTAATGAGGAGTCGGCGGTGTTCTCAAAGGGCTGTTCTGGGTTTGGATTCTTTCTCGAGATGCCCATGCGAACGGCAGCGTACCCTTATACGAACTTTTTTGGATCAAAGCTCCTAGCCCTAAACCTTAAACTCACAATCCTCTCCCGTGAACCCTGCGTTCTGGAGCCACTCTAAATCCCTCATACAACCCAACAAGAACCCCTCTAGATCCCTAAACCCTAGACCCTAAACCCTTAAAGGAGCCCCTAAGCCGAGGCTACACGCTCCTGACCCTGGCTCTCTGTTGCTTCACGCTCGCTGTGGGAAGCATTCCAGAGCGTAATGAAGCTTTGTTGCTGGGCTTTGGAGTACCATACTTTGATGCTTTTTCGGGGACCTGCTACTTAAACTAAAGGGAAGCATTATGAAATGACTTGTAGCCCCAAACCCTACAAAATAGTAGGTTATGACCCCTTAATTAGAGGGTCTGACTCTTAAAACGGTAGGTTTTGGGATCCACAGGTTATTGGAACCCCTAAATTATGACATGACAGTCTATACTTCCTAATATAGTACCCTAAATAGTAGGATCCTTATTCTAAGGACCCCAAAATATGGTACCCCCCCTAAACCCTAAACCCTAAACCCCTAAACCCTAAACCCTAAACCCCTAAACCCCTAAACCCCTAAACCCTAAACCCTAAACCCATAAACCCTAAATCCTTTTTCCCTGGTTACTTCAAAGCCCCAGGTTGTGGGTCACGCAGGCCGTGATTCTCGCCGTTGGGCATCTGGGTTCCAGTTTAAGGTTCAGGGTTGTAGGGCTTCAGGGTTTTAGGGTTTAGGGTTTTAGGGTTTTAGGATTTAGGGTTTAAGGGTCTAGGGTTAAGGGTTTAGGGGTTTGGGGTTAAGGGTTAAGGGGTTTCGGGGCTAGGTTCCAGTTAGGGCACACTATCGGGTTTGATACGAAGATGGTGTCATCATCGAGAAAGCATACGATTACCCCAGCTCCGTGAACAGTTACCGTTGAGTCTTCATATCGCTAATTAATTAACTATCAACTTTAGAATTATTAGTTATTAGCCCCAAAAAACTGTCCTAGTTATGAAGGCCCAGGTACCAAGCCCTTATGGTAACCAGGTATGGTAACCCTTGTAAGGGCCCGTTAAAGAAACTACTAAGGAACCCTGTTTTTAATGGAGGCCCCTGAGCATTGAGGTTTTATCCGAATGTGGCTGCCTACCGGCAGTATTTCCGCGCCCTGGGCGACCTAAAGTCAGAATTGGAAAGCTTCTCTTTGCAGGGCACCCAGTGCCTGTGTTGCCAGAGAGGCCGGACTATTCGGGTTTGGTTTCGGGGTTCGGGTTTAGGGTTTCGGGTTTGGGGGTTCAGGTTTGGTTTTAGGGTTTCGGGTGGAGAGGCTCGGCCCTACGACACCCCTTGTAGTAATTCTTATAGATCCCTCATGGACCCCTTTAAAAGGAGTTTGGGGGTTCGAGGTTAGGTTGCCTGTTGTCCCGAGAGGCCATGTCTCCGAGGACGGGGAGCCGATGGCTTGTGACCGGAAAGTGGTCCTCCATTGCCTGAAGTTGTGGTTCGGTACCTCAGAGACGAAATGAACCCTAAAAGGGTTTAAGGTTCATATACCATATACATAGGGATTCATAGTATAGGGGTATCAGGCCCCTATTTAGAAGGGTCATCTGGTACCCAAGGTAGCGCCGAAAGCTTCGAGCATCGCGTACGTTCAGAGGTTTCCGAAACCCTCATGCACGAGCTGTCCGCCGAGTTCTTCAACTACAGGCATTGCCTGGCACTTCTCATCCCAGTTGCCTGGTCTTACATGGACACAGCATCTGCGGAGTGGCGGAAGTATGACGAATGGCGACATCGTGGGACGGAGATCACCAAGGAGCTTGCCAGAGGCTTTGCATGGTGGCTTTGTGTGGCACCGTCCATCCTGCTCATGACTTTCAGACTTGCATACTGCTTTCGGGCAAAACGTTCCAGGCGGTGTTGTGATTGGGCAGTCAACAGCCTCATCCTGCTGTGCGTAGTTGCCTTCTTCGTGGCTGCGGTGCAGTTGGAGTTCGCGTGCATGATCTTCCACAACCGCTTCGTCCCCCGTGACTCAGCGTGGAGAGGTTTGCACACTGCCATGCTGCTCTTTGTCGCCCTTTGCCTTCCCATGTCCATCCTCCTCTTCAATTGCGTGGGGCTTCAACCTCCGATAACCACCCTAAAAGCAGCTGTATCCGGGAGCGCCGAGGACGCAGCAATCACGGCTGCTGGGCTTGTATAGCATACATGTCGGGGAAGAGACAACCGCCAAACCCCTCAAACTACAAGCCCTGCGCGCTAAATCCTCGAAAAGCCTGAAACCTCTCCCTAATCTCCTAGATCATCAACTTCATACCCTATATCCCGAAGCCTTAAATCCCTAAACCCTAACCCGCAAGCCTTATGCCGTAAATCCCACACCATAAAACCGACGCCCTCAACCTTATAATTAGTAACCTTATATAGATCCCTTATAGTAACCTTGAAGTTCCTTTAAAGGAACCCTAAACCTTAAGGCCTAAGCCCTAAATCCTAAACCCTATACCCTAAACCCTAAACCCTGTACCTAAACCCTATCCTATACCTAAACCTTAAACCCTAAACCCTAAACCCCAAACCCCCAAACCCCTAAACCCCAAACCTTGAATCCTCACCTCTCCCAGGAGGCGCCCAAAGCTCGCGAGGGCCATGTCCGAGAGCTCTGAAGCTGCTCGGAAGGCTTACCTGTGGATCCCAAAACCTACCGTTTTAGGGGTTAGACCCTATAAATCAAGGGTAATAACCTACTATTTTATAGGGTTTGGGGTCACAGGTACGTACCCAGAGAGCCCAAGGGGCCCCTTATTTAAGGAATATACCTACCTTTGGGATCTATAAGGGATCTATAGGGTTTAGGGTTTCTGATACCCCTTAATTAAGGAATATGGCTTAAAATTAAAATGTATAGGGCTTCATATTCTGATTTAAGCTATATTCCTTAATTAAGGGGTATTGGGCTGTCTACGTAAAGGCTCATGGGACCTAGTAAGTAAGGTTCCTTTAAGGGGTCCTTATAGGGATTTATATATAGGGTTCTTTAAAGGGATCTATAGGGTTTAGGGTAGCTTAGGGCTCTGGGCTCCTTTTAGGGGATCTATAGGCCTTGTTAGTCGGGTTTAGGGGTTTAGGGTTTAGGCGTATAGGGGTTTAGGGTTGTAAGGATTTTAGAGTTTAGGGCTTTGGGCTCCTGTGTAGGGATCTAATAGGTTTCCCTGTAAGAGTTCCTGAAAGGGTTTAGGGGTTTAGGGTTTATGGGTTTATATAAGGTATATGTATATAGGGATTTTAGGGTTTAGGGCTTTGGGCTTTCTTTTAAAGGGATCTGATCGGCGTTTAATGGGGTTTCTAAGGGATCTATAGGGTTCCCTTTAAGGGTTGCTTAAGCGGGTTTGGTTTTAGGGTTTAGGGGGTTTGCAGTGTTCAGGGTATCAAGTTCCGGGCTTTAGGGCTTTAGGGCTTAGGGTTTAGGGTTTAGGGTTTAGGGTTTAGGTATTAAGGGTTAGAGTGTAAGGCATACGGTTTACCTTAACCCTGAATAACTTTTTTAGGGATCCTTACTATGGTGTCTTTATATAAGTCCTTAAAAATGTAGGTTCTTCGGGGTTAAGGTACGGTTTAGGGTATAAGGCACTAGGTTTAGGGCTTATAGGGTTTAGGGTCTAAGGCGTAAGGTTTAGGGGTATTAGGCTTATAGTACGTATTTAGGGTACTTAGAGGATCGTGGGACTTAGTAAGTAGGTTATAATTGGAGTTATAAGTCCCCTACATGGGGTTATCCTAATTATAGCCTACTTATAACCTTACTTACTAAGTCCCATGAGCCTTTAAGTATAGGGTTTAGGGTGAAGGCGAGGAGTTCGGTGGTGAGCTTCCGGGTGAGTTTAGGGTCTGGACCCTGTGGTTTTCCTTGTCTAGAGTTGACAGCTACTTGTTGTTGCTGTTGTTGTTGTCGGAATGGGGACCCAGTGTACGGTTGCACCGGGGGGGGCAACAGCCACAACCAAAAAGGCAATGGGGCCCCAGTGTACGGTTGCACCTTGTTGTTGTTGTTGTTGTTGGTGGTGGTGGTGGTGGTGGTGGTGTTGTTGGTGTTGTTGGCGGTGTTGTTGTTGTTGTCACGCTGTTCCCAGACCCTGACCATTTTGTTTTCGGGGTCTCCATGGTGCGAAGCCTCTCCCTCCCTGTTCTTCCCACTTTTGGATGTTGTACTCCTGCAGTTGATCTTGCTGAGGGTCAGGGTGGACAGCGGGTGTTTTAACAGTAAATATCGTACATGGGAACATGAGCATCTGGTGCCTCACAGCTGAGGTTAGAGGACTTGGAGTTATGGACGGAGATCCGTCCGCAAATACGTTATAGTGATTGGGTGAGGAACCGAGCGTCTTGTCCGTGGCTACTCATCACGAATTTTAACCCTAAGCCTTAAGTTTAAATCCTAAACCCTAAATCCCAAAACCTAAACCCTAGACCTAAATCCTAAACCCTAAATCCTAAACCCTAAATCCTAAACCCTAAACCCTAAATCCTAAACCCTAAACCCTAGCCGGCAGCGGCGAAGCTTCCTGCCTCAGGGGGTTGGGAGTCCCATGGGAGCCGTCAACTACTGCGTTCTTGCTATTACGGAGTTTAATTTAAGTTACATTTACGGTTTAGGGTTTAGAGTTTAGGGTTTAGGGTTTAGGGTTTAGGGTCGGTTAAATCCCTTAACAGGAGCCCAGCCTATGCATGCAAAACCGACCCCCCTGCCATCAGCAGGCGGATCGGAGGAGCGGCTAATGCCGCTACCAGTAGGGCTTGCTGGAACTCATCGGACAACGGTCAGGGCAGGACATCAACGTGAGGACCGTGCCACCGACTACTCAGACGTACCATACGTGACGCTACGCACAACTTGCTACTACGTACTGCCACTCACGGCCACGGCCATTGCCATTGCGACTACGATGGCTTTTGCTACTGCTATTGTTACTGCTACTCCTGCTGCTACTGCTAGTGCCATCCCTGCTGCTGCTCTTACTCCAACTCAACTCCTGAACCTACTTCTACTCCTACTCCTATATCCTCCTACTCCGACTCCCACTCCTACTCCTACTTCTACTCTTACTCCTACATCTACTCTTACTCTTACTCCTACAACAACTACTACTACTACTACTACTACTACTACTGCTGCTGCTACTACTACTACTACTACTACTGCTACTGCTACTGCTACTGCTACTGCTACTGCTACTGCTACTGCTACTGCTACTGCTACTACTACTACTACTACTACTACTACTACTACTACTACTACTACTACTACTAGATGGTGGCAGAAACCGTAAGTGGTTTGTAACCTAAACCCTGAACCTTCAAGCTGAAACCCTTCCAGGTATATATGCTGTACAACCCTACATGCATGAACCCGAAACCCTAACCCTGAAACCCCAAGCCTAAGACCCAAAAGCACCAATCTGAAATCATCCCTGAACCTTAAACCCTAAAATCTTTCCGAAACCCGAAACTGTAGACCTAGAGACGATACTATTCCTTAGGGCTCTCCGTTGTAGTCGTACTATGTGATCCCCCCCGAAACCTTATTCGCCGTACTACTCCCCTCAACACTAATATCCTAAACCCTGTATTACAACCCCACTATTCGAAGTACTACTCCCCTAATCCGTAAATCCTAAACCCTGTATTCCAAAATGTTCCTGAGGGTTCTCTGTTGTTTAGGATTGAGGTTTTAGAACTACTACTCCCCTATATTATATTGCACCATGTCGATGTGGCCTTGGGCCCTGACATTTTTCTTCCCCGACGGCTAAGCCGCGGGAGATGCTCTGCACGAGTTGAACTTCCCAGACCTTCCAAAATCCCCTAATTAAGGAATATCCCTTAAGTTATAGTAGGATCCTTAATTTGATTTAAGGTAGATTCCATAATTAAGAGACTGTGGAAGGTCTGGGTTCCCCTTTGGCAGAGCTTGGGGTTACCCGGTTTCAGGTTTACCTTAACAACCCGAAACCATTGTTTTGTAGGTAGGTTTCCTATAAATTCGGTTTAGGGTTTAGGGTTTGCATAGTAACTTGGGTTTAAAATAAGAGCCTGCAGAAAAGTAGGTTGTGCTATCTAGGTTGGTTGGTTGGCTTAGGGTACGCATAGGGGTCGGTTTGTCGTTCTTTTAAGGGATCCACATGCTTGGGATGTTTAAAGGTCGTATACTTTGGGGTTTAATGTAGGGTCTCGAGGGTGTAGGGTGTCTGGATCTTTAGGTTTCCGGGTTCAGAGCTTGGGTTTCAGGATTTAGAGTTTCCATGTTCAGGTTTAGGGTTTTACAGTTCCAGCTTTCAGGAGTCAGAGTTCAGGGTCTTTGGGGTGAACCCCAAACGCTAGACACGCATCGAGTCCCTGTCGTCGAAGCTGGCAAGGGTCACGTAGCAGCAGCTGCGTGCCACGAGAGCACCCCCCCCAGTCTGGCTAGTTACGTACTAGTTAGTTCAGTTCTTATCTATGTCCGGCTCTGTAATTGGCGCCTCTGCGTGTGCCATGCAGAAACCCTATAAATATGAACCTTGCCTAACGTAGAAGCACGCAGACACAGACACACATAGACACGCGCACACACACAGAGAGAGACACACACACACACACAAACACAAAGACAAAAACCAACACAAATGCGAACACAAGCGCACACGCAACCGCAAACGCAAACACCACACCCACACCCACACACCCACACACCCACGCACCCACACACCCACACACCCACACACCCACACACCCACACACCCACACACCCACACACCCACACACCCACACACCCACACACCCACACACCCACACACCTACACACGCGCACACCCACACACCCACACACCCACACACCCACACACTCACACACCCACACACCCACACACCCACACACCCACGCACCCACACACCCATACACCCACACACCCACACACCCAGACACCCACACATCCACACACATGCACACGCACAGGCACATGCACGCATACACAAACACACAATAATTTCGTTTATGTATGTGTATAAGTCAACCTTTATATATGCATGGGTCTACGTACATGCGTACAACATGTACTTTTACAGGTCCTTTCCCGAGATATACGGATTGTGCTTGCATGCATGCATACATGCATGCTTGTATGCATGGAACCCCTAAACCCCCAAACCTAAACCCCTAAACCTGAAATGCATGTACTCCTTCGGGTCTCCGGCTCTGCATCTGCACTTCGAGGCTCTTGCGACCGTGGGTCTCTCATGAGCAAAAAAGGCTAGGGTTCAGGGATTTAGGTTCAGGGGTTTAAGATACCGTTTCGACTTGTACGTCCGTTCGATCGTTTCGCTGCCTTTTAAGGGTTGTCTCAGGGCTCGGAGAGTCTCAGGATTTACAGTGCAGCATGTAGTGTGCGGGGAACGATAAACCTGGTAAGATACGAATCTACAGGTCTGAAGAAACAGCAGCTACTGGCAAGACTGCCCTTTTATAGTCCCTGTAATTATGAAAGCCTCATACAAACTGTTAAGGCTGTGAAAGTGCTGGGTCACCCATAGCAGCCAAAGACCCGGACAGCCCCGGCTTAGCCTGGAGATAGAGCTGAGGGGTGTGGGTTATGATGATGGTTCATTTTTAAGAGGTTTAATCTTAGGAGCT